AAATTTTGGGTCACAAATTAATAATGTGCAAGTCACAAATCACTTATTGGTCGCAATTTATCTAATTGATTGGTCACATATTGTTCATTGGTCACAAACTAACCATATTACTGGTCTCAAACAACCAAATCATTTGTGACCACCATCGACATCAGTTGTGACCCCCACTTCGCCACTGCATCCGCCAACGGCACCACCACCGTCGCCGCCCAATAGCACCATCAAAATCTCAAAACCAACACCACACCCTCCCCAACACCACTATTACCACCCCCAAAACCATCGGCAGCGACAAACAAAACGACCATACACCCACCAGATCGCCGCCAAAACATGGAACAACAACAAAATCGCCGCCAGATCCGCCATGGCCAAACCACGATCTCAACAACAAAACACTGAATAACATCAACCATACACTCACCCTTTGACTGAAAAACCACCACAGCAACCACCGACCAACAACAACCATACAACCTCCATACCCATCCAAATAAATCAAACTCAAACTAAAAAAATAAAATAAGAAAAAAAGATCCACATGGCAGAAACGGTAGAAGACGACATCGAGACTGTTGGATCTGCGAAGAGGCAGAGGTGGCTGATATATTGGAAAACAGAACATGGTTGGCGGTTTTAAGGTTAACAACTTCCATGACGTGGGTCGCCGCTTCTGTGAAATTGCCGGTTCAAAACGTCGATGGTTCGAACGACGGATGTGATGGGTCGGCAATATCTCGAACGCGCCAGAAAAGTGAACCCTTCAATCGCCGGAGAGAAGACAGAGAAACGGAGGCCCGCCGTCGCCGCTTCGAGCACATGACACGATGGTGGAGGGGAAATGAACGGTGAGGGGAAAAAAGGTCGTGGCGGCGGGATGGGGAGGAGAGACGCCTGATGGGGAGGAGAGAAGAAATGGACGGGAGGAGATGAATGATTTTTAGGTTTGATTAGGTTTTTTTATATTGTGATGAAAAATATATAATTAATATTTAATAAAATATTAAAAACCTGATTTTTGAAAATTTAAACTTGTGATATGATTTGTGAAAATGGAAATCTAAAAGCAGGTGTATGTGTAATTTCCTCAATAATAAATCGAAATTTGGCCCATTAATAAGGTCCAAGTTTTTTCTTTATTATTATTTTTTACCTATTTATGTTATTTATTTCCAACTACCCATTTGCAGCTTTTTCAACTCCTAAAACTCCTGTGGTTTATAGCCTATGTTAATGGGGAAGTTATTTGTCAGATTAATGATAATATTAATGGTCTATTAATTCACTCTTAGAGCCTATAAGAAAGGCCATTTTCATCAGTTCCATATGCAAATTTTTCTGTTCCAAAATATATTCTTTCTTTGTTTCTTTATTCCCGAATCTTGATGACAGTGTTCATATAAAATTCAGTTCACCGATGTAGAAACTTCGTGTTTAGTTTTTACTGATCTCTTATTTGTATCTTGGGAGACAGGAAAACTTTGAGATCTTATACCATTTAGTTTTGAATTTTTTTTTCTTTTGCAGTTTTACTTTCTTGTTTGTTATTTCTTAAATATATTATATTCAGTATCGATTTTACTAACAATCTTAAAATCGATTCGAAGATAAAAATAGTTGTATTATGTTTGCATTAGAAAATTAATAGTTGTTTGGTATTTGAAAAATTGCAACCAGATCAACTCATATGGATGTGTTTACTGAAAATTAGACCGCTGACTTAATCGTCAAGTTATGCTGGGACTCAGACAATGGCTGAGAGCATTTGGCCTTGTTGCAACAGTTTTGGTTAATCATGAGGAAAAATCGTAGAAATTAAATGGGCTGAATTTCAAAAAATGATAATAGAAGATGATATTTTATCTCACCTCCTTGAATTTTGCAAGATTCTTGATTGAGGATGCTCTAAAACTCAAAGAGGGTAAGGGTGATATACAAGCTTTTACCTAAATTGAAGCTAGGAAACATTTAGATTTCTTGTGCCGCAACCATGTCAATGGTTGATTCACTATACAACATGTATAATACGATAAAAATGACTAAGGAATTGTGAAAGTCTTTAGACCAAAAATATAAAATCGAGAGTGTCGAGGCAAATGAAATTTATTATTGGCCACTCCTAGATTATAAAATGGTAAACTCACAACCGTGATTAGTCAAGTATAGGAACTCGAGTGATTTTAAATGGGAGTCATGTCAAATGAA